TATTATATAGTTTCTACTTATACTCCACAGAAAATAAATACCAAAGCCTATTTTTGGCTTTGATTATCCAGATAATACCTGTGTGATCAACTCCAGCCTTAATCAATGCTTTGGCCCAATACGAACTTTAATGTTGTGCTTATCAGAAATGCCCTGAACTGTGAAGTTTCCCTGGAACTGCTCAGCATATTGTGTATAGTATATAAAGTATGGGGCTTATAACACATATTAGTTATATCCTGACTATTCATCATTCTGTTTCTCCCAGCCAAGTACTAACAAGTACTTAGCAACCAAGTACTAACCCTGCGTAGCTGCCAAGATCAGACGGGATCGGGCACGTTCAGGGTGGTGTGGCTGTAGACTCACAGTTCTGTCCCTGTGTCCTCAACTATGACCCTAGTCCCAGCCTGGGTCTGTCTGTCCTCTGCCCTCCCATAGCGGCAACGAGCAGCAACATCAATACTGACTTCATTCTCGTTCTGCGGAAGAGTGTAGTTCCCAAATTGTTTCAGGTTTATTCAACTTTTAGAGGGCAAAGGTGCTCACAAATACTGATTTCCAGGAAAAATAAAAGCGTCACCAGTACCTTGCATTTCATGTGAGCCACCTGCTGCCAGGGTCGGTGGCTGGGCCACTCGGGCCAGTCCTGCCACTGAGGACAACAAACCCTGGAAACCGCCTTAAATACGGGGAAGAGCTGAACTGTCAGCAGTGGTCAGGGGTTTCGAGGCTGTGGTCCGAAATCTCTGAGGTCCCCGAGCTTGCAGTCAGAGGGTTCCTCCTGGGAGTCCTCGAGGTTCCGGGGAGTCGAGGGTCTCTGCTGGTGAGAAGGCAGGTGGGGACGGAGACGGAGCTGAGTCCCAACTCCCAGACAACTGCCGGGTCACGTGGAACAGCAGGGACGAGAAGGGCAGAGGTTCCTGCCGCCCACATGCACGTTGCTGACGCAGCCAATGAAACTCGGTTAAAGTGGCCCCGGGTTGATGACGTCCCATGATGCTGAGAAAAGCGACAGCCCTTCCTCCAAAGGCCTCCAGCTTTTCCAGGCCTCGGTGACGTGGAACATCGTGCAAAGTGAATCAGCCACACAAGGAAGCCGTGACCAGAACCGGCAGAGACAGACCCAGAGACAGGGGTACTGAGGTCACGAGACACAGATTCCAGGACAACAGCACTTACTAGGTTTTAAGGAAAAATGACAAAACTGGAAATATCTGCTGGGTATAGGAAACCACAGAAGTCTTCCATACAGAAGGACGTTTAAAGATTTGCAAAATTTGACCCTCTGCTGGGCTGTGAAAAAGTCTCCCCACGTTTCAAAGGGCTGACACCACACAGATGATGTTCACAGCGGGAGAGAGCTGGGATGACTAACAAAGACGACTAGAGATCTCGGATGTTTGGAAATCAAACAAGGCAATTCCACGGTCAGGAGCAAGACGGGGATGTCACCGTGGCCTTCTGCTATTAAAGAGGCGCTATTAGGATCAATCGGATACATTTGTCAGGTGTTTTCAACTGTCAGCCAGAAAACCGGAGAGACAGGCTCTCCGGAAGAGAAGCGTTCGCCTGGGAAAAGCAGGGAACTGCCAGCTCCGTGGGGTCCCAGGCATCCCTGAGGGGGTTGGGGGCAAAAGGGAGACCTTTAAGGGCACAGAGAAGAAGTTACTGTTTTATAAGGAAGATCACGAGTTGCGAGAGCTTGGTGCGGAGGCGGCCGCCACCGGGCAGGGGTCCTTGCTGGAATCCTGCAGTCCCGACGGAGCCCGCGGCAGACGTGCACCGGTGCAGGCGTGTCTGGCGATAGGGCCTGTTTCAGACGTGTGTGCGCCAGGGCTTCCCCGTCACGGCCTCCCGGCGGCCTCCGACAGGCTCGACATAAGTGAATCTGCTTTGGTATCCGCGGCTTTCCCAGAACACAGGGAGCTCTGTTTGCCGGTGATGAGCGGTGACGAGGGCCGACTGCAGCCTGGTCACGCAGTCACGCCTCAAGAGCGCTGCTCCTGGAAAGGCTCACTCAGGTCTGTCGTCTTGCTCTGGGAACGTTCCCAAGAAACCGATCCCGGAGAGTGGAGAAGCTGCACGCACAGACAGCTGGGTGTCAGTGTCATTTATTCCACTGCTAGTGGAGGAGCCGCAGCTGGAGCCGCGCTGCCACGTGGGAGCCTGGCCACGCCTCGCGTGGGACGTGACGGGCACAGCGCAGCCACTCCTACGACAGCTGGAGAAATTACAAACCCAACAAGGCAAGAGCAGAATTACTCCTCTTGCAAGTGAGAACCAGAGCCTAGAAGACACCCTGGAAAAGTGAATTGTTACTGGTGAGAAGGACGTGATTTTAAAATTTTTAAACAAATTTTATCATATCTGTGCGGTTAATTTAAAAAAATAATCTATTTGATGTGCAAATTGGACCTGGATGGCACCATTTACAGCCTGCCACCTCCTCCCTGGCCCTTCCGCCACCCACCGAGCTTGGACAATTCGGTGAACGCTAAAAACAGTGCCCCCTCCCACCTTCCCAAGACAGGTTCTCAGCAGGGGCCCCTCAGCCCCCCGAGTCAGAGCAGTCCCTTCCGGGCTCCCACATTTCTAAGGCGGGGGCAGCTGTAACCGCCCCAAGAACAAATTTCAGTGGCCCCTGTGTGTTATTTTAATAATCCTCTCCCTTAACTAACTACTAGACCTTTGGAGCTGTTTCCCAGAAATGGTGGATTCTCTGCAGACGAAGGAGCTGGGATTCTGACAGGCCCTGGGCAGACTCCCGACGCCTAGACCCTCCGCCCCACAGCCTGTCCTGCGGCCGGCTGTTAGCTTCACACGAGCTGCCCAAGGCTCAGCGCCTGTGAGAGCCGGGCATCTGCATTAGCGGGGAGAGCTGGATCTGAGACAAGACGTCTGTCGTATTAAGGATGCCTTCTTCCTCGGCAACCCTCCTTGAATCAATAATCGGTCTCTGCGCGACAAGCAAATCCACCTAGGCCCAAACCCCCTTGTGCTGCGACAGCAGGGTCTGCAGAGAGACCACCTGAGGAGAAAGCCCTGGGCTGTTCCTTCCCTCCTCCAGGCCAGGCCGCGGGGACAGTCGATTGATGCTCGGTCTGCGTTTGCCGGGAGCCCGGGAGAGCCATGCCGAGAGCTCTCGGTGGTGCGGAGAGAAGGCAGGAGCTGCAAACCCGCCCTGGCCAGAGCGCACTGGAGCTGGGGGCAGCTGCTGCCCACACTGTCTGCAAGAGCGCCGCATCCCGCCTGGGTCTGCACCGCAATTTCTTTTTTGTCTGGCTATAGAATGCAGTAAGACTTTCAGAACCGAACAATAATAGCTTTTGTGCTATTTTTGTCCCTAGTTACTGGTCCTCGAGTCTGGCCCAGGCAAAGCTCATGTCATCTGCAGGGCAGCGTCCCTTCTGGGTGGGGTGCGGGCCGGAACGGGACTGGCTCAGCAGAGCCGGGGTTCCTGGAGGAGAACCCAGGGCACGGCCTGCCAGGAAGGGGCCGGCGCAACATCACAGAAGCCTTTGATTCGGCTGCGGTTGCTTAGATCCTGTGTGTTGGGCTGTCTCAATAGCCCTTGGAGTCTGGGCTCTGCAGGGGCCACAGCTAAACAGGATGTGTGTGTTTCTGAGCCCAGGGTCTGTGTCCGGGAGACCTTCCGGACACACAGTACGTCCTTCAGCAACCCAGGGAGGGGACAGGGCCAGGCTCTTAGCTCCCTGCCCCTTGTTGCCATTTTAACGCGGATACAATTGTAAAATAAATAAGCCACTTCATCCATCACAAAAACAAGGAAGCAGTTCGTGCATATTTTTGGCAATATAGCCTTCCTTTCAAGAAAAAGGAGAAAATGCAACTGAAATACAAACTACACCCTCTCCTCCCGTAGAGAAGGAAAATGAATGTGAGAAGTGAGTAAATATTCCTCTGATTAGTCACGAAGGGCCGTGGCCTCTAGAGGGATAGACGTCCCAGGTGGGGAGTTGGGCCGGGGTGTGTCCCCCGGGTGGGGATTGTCCCTGCGGGGGGGGGGGGCGCACACGTGCACGCTCTCACGTGGCCAGCAGGAGGCGGGAATGGACGGCTTCCTCTCTGGCCAGCCTGAGGACGAGCGCAGGCTCCTCTTGGGTCCAAACCAACCACTGTAGCTCCTCAGTCTGTCCCATCTTAAAATGCCTCGTGCTACACTAAGGCCTCCTCCTCCTCGCCCCAGAATTGCCGGGATTTGGGGTGACTTCCACCAGGTGTTCTCGGAGGAAGGCTGTCTGACGGAAGTGGTGCATGCTGCTCCCACGTGGCCCCTGCTTTGATGAGTCTGCCTGTTGCCTACTGCGCGGAAATTCAAGCAAGGTAACTGGATGAACGTCTAATTCAGGGTTTCCTAAGCTCAGCACTACTGACACTTCGGGCCAAGCAATTCCTAGTTGCGGGGGCTGTCCTGGGCGTTGCAGGACGTGGGGCAGCATCCCTGCCCCCAGCAGTGACCCCTCCCATGCGCCTAACGGCCAAAACTGTCTCCAGACATTGCTAACTGTCCCCTGGGGAGAGAGGGTCTGTGTCTCCGGGTGCAACTTTAGGCATGGCAATGAGAAAAGAGCTGTCGGAGGAAGGTGAGGCCCAGACAGACATGAACAGGAGACCCTAATCACACCCCAGCCCTGCTCCGAGCTGTGTTCATCTCTGGAACCCACTCGCTGCTGCCACCAGTAGCTATGAATTAATCTAACAATGCAGCTCCGTGACCCACACCCCGCCGCTCAACCGTCTGTGGTCAATCTCTAGTCGATGTCATCTCCGTAACCAGTGAGAACTCCTGACAACCAGCTTTTATCAGCCCTGTCCCCTTTTGCCTTTGAAACCTGCCAATAACAAGGTCTGAAGGAGCTCGTATCCAGGGTCACTGGGTCTGAGTCTTCTGGGCAGCTGCCCCCACTTTGGCTCCAGTAAACTCTTTTTCTTTTTGAGACACGTTCCTGCTCTGTCACCCAGGCTAGAGAGCAGTGGTGTCATCACAGCTCACTGCAGCCTCAAACTCCTGGGCTCAAGCATCCTCCCGCCTCATCCTCCCAGAGTGCTGGGATTACAGGCGTGTGCCACCGCGCCCGGCCTACTTTATTTTTTACAGAAGAGACCAGTATCAAATGTCGCTCAGACCCAGGCGTTAATGTGCTCTTCTCACCCCAGGGAGGTGGCCCAGCTGGCCCCACCGCGGGGTGGTCAGGAGCAGATACAGTGCGGGAACCCAGGTGTTTCGATTCTCGGTCCAGCGACTTGTCGCTGGACGGAAACCCTTGTGTTTCTGTGATCTTGGTGAATATACCGGCAGCATTTCCTT